AATGCACAGTGGGCGCGGTGGATTTAAGCCAGTCAGTTGTTTCTTATATCTGCAGATCCAGTGGGCAGCTACTCGATTACTTTTGTGAAACGTCTTCTGGACGATTTGTCATAACCTGAAATACAGAAAACTCAAGTGGTGCTTGAAGATAAACGACAAAATGTCTTCCGACTCGAATTTCCTGCTTGTCGGTGACTATGAGAGATTTCCTTAGAGACTCGTTTACCAAATAAATACAAAGCGTTAATTGGGAGAAGCTGTGTGTTTTCATTTTCGCATTGCTTGATGCAAACAAAATGATGTTCCACGGAAATATCTTCATCCTCTAGAGAAATGAACATTTATCTTGCTTTCCGTATGCTGCCAGCGTAGCTCTCGGTTCGATGAATGTTCTTTGAACTCATATCAAATTAGTCGTTAACTCGATCGAAGCGTAGATTCGAATACAACTTCCATTTTTTAGATAGTAAACGAAAAGTGAGAATCCAAAAAAGAATATGTTTCAACAATTTTTCTTGTTATATATTGACATTTTGAATGTTTTCAATTAGTATATTGCAACCACATCATTCATGTAGGTATCATCAAAACTCTTGACGTAAAGGGTCTTTCATTGAGTGCTTTCTATCTTCAAATTTGAATGAAACAAAGTGTGTCTTTTTATTAATTGATTATTAACACGCTTTTGTTAGCTTTACCTGTATGTATGTACGTATGTATGTTTGTTTGTTTGTTTCTTTGTAACTCTCAAGCTCACGATCTGTTTGTTTGAAAGTGATTGACAATGTTTCATGATGAATTTCACTAGTTCGGACTTCCATTGTCTACTATATAAAATGATTTGAAATCCCTGAAACAACTAAAAGAGAAGAATTAAAAATGAATAGCTGAAAATAACAATTATATCAAGCGAAATAAACCTGAAATGAAATAATAGTGAAATAAAATACAAGTAAAAATAGAACAATTGAATAAATAAAATTAAAGAAATGAAAAAAGAAAATAAAAATAAAAAAGTGGAGAGATTTCAAGTCACGTTCGTTTATGACGTTTCGATTGTTACTATCTGCAATCGTTTTCGGGTGATAACTGGACTGATTCCTCCGAGAGATGACTATCAGACATCATCAAAAATGATCTTCAACGGAATGACTACTCCAAAGCGATGGTAGAAAAGACTTTGGCTAAAAGACAGCAGGAGCCTCGCAAGAAAGAGAACCCGTCACAACCAGTGCTTGCACTTCCCTACATCAGAGGATTATCGTAGAGGATAAGAAGAATTGGTTCCAAGTACAACATTAGAACCTGCTTCAGAACCGGTAACACAATCCGTAGCAGCCTCATGAAAACCAGGCCACCAAATGCGGACTGCGATTCCAAGAATTGCATTTACCGGATACCCTGTGAGTGCGGAAAATATTGGTGAAAGTAAGAGGCCATTGAATGTTCGCATTGCCAAGCACAAGAAACACACACACAGCGAGGGTAAACCAGCAAATCAGGAATAGCAGACCATGTTTGGACCCATCAACACAACATCGAGTGGTCCCAAGCTGAGATCTTGCACAGAGAGGAACATTGGTTTAGGAGAAAATTCAAGGAAGCCGCATACATGTTGTCCAACAACGTATTCAGCCAAGCCAGCTTAGAAATACGCAACATATGGAAACCCATCATCAAGCGTAAAATGGCCAACTCCCGCCAAACGGTTATCTCCCACGGAACCAGTGAAGCGGAAAATGGAGAGCGAGGATAAGTGAAAGTACTCGAACGACCTATAAATAGTCATCTCTCGGAGGAATCAGTCCAGTTATCACCCGAAGACGATTGTAGATACTAACAATCGAAACGTCGTGAACTAACGTGACTTGGAATCTCTCCACTTTTTTATTTTCATTGTTCTATTTTCACTTATGTTTTATTTCACTATTATTACATTTCAGGTTCATTTTGCCTAATATAATTGTTATTTTCAGCTATTCATTTTTAATTCTTCTTTCTTAGTTGTTTCAGGGATTTCGAATCATTTTATATAGTAGACAATGGAAGTCCAAACTAGTGAAATTCCTCAGGATGTGTATTTGACAGAATCATTGACATTATTGCTTGACCTATTCGCGGATAGATGGCGCTGTGCGTAACCTCCTCGATATTATTGCTTGATCTAATTGCGGGCAGATGGCGCTGAACGTAACCTCCTTGATATAATTCGAACTCACTTTACATGTATTTCTTCATTTGAAAAAAAAATTTTTTTTATTAACACTCGCGCCTGCTGCCTTATTTGTAACTCCCCTTTTCGCGCCTGCTGCCTTGGGTTTGTTAGCTGATTTTCAGGCTCCCTCTCCAGAATCGGAAAATATCCATGGTCATATGGTTATATACACTGACTTGGCCAAGGCATTCGACAGAGTTAACCACGAAGTTTCCATCCTAAAATTAAAAGCATTCGGTTTCACAAACAACACACTTGATTCATTTCACTGCTATCTATCCAACAGAATACAGTTAATAAAGTTCAACAACGTTTCTTTCTTCAAATTCACCGCTACCTCGGGAGTTCCGCAGGGCTCGATTTTGATACCTCTCCTTCTCGTGTTATTTGTTAATGACGTTTCTCGGTATATGGGGCATTCTCAATTTCTCCTATATGCCGGTGATCTCAAGCTGTTTAGAAGAATCGAAAGCGAAAAAAATTCTGATATGCTTCAAGATGAGGTATTACAAAAAAAAATCATTAAAATTATGTACAATAGAAAGAATGACTACCCCTCTAATTATATTTTTAGCGATTCAAAGCTACTTGATATACGACAGTTATATATGTATAATATTATATTGTATGTCTTCAAAAATAAAACATCTTTTCAGCAAATCGGTAATGATTATAATACTCGCACTAAAACAGAAGGTAATGTAAAGCTAAACGCAACAAAAATGTTAATTGGGCAACACTCTTACAAATACCACAGTGCAAAAATTTTTAATTACTTACCTGATCTGTACAAAACATACTTTCATAAAATAAATAGGTATAATACTAATAGAGATATTGTTCATGATATACTCATGAATAAATAAATAATCCTCGTTTGTACATAAAATATCTACGTTGTCATTGTTCGTTCATACTCGTTTACTGCTGAATGTATTTTCATTTATATATATAACATACCTTTCTTTTTAAAAAATTAATCATTCATTTGAGTCCTTTAGTCTTTCTTAGTTTAATATTAAATTTTTTTCATCGCCTTGTTTAAATGTAAAATCAATTCTGCACATCAGTTATGCATTGCTCAACTAAAGAATTCCCACGCACAACTTCGGTTTTAGTGGGTTTCTCCATGTTTGTTTGTATTGCTTTGTTTATATATAACATACCTTTCTTTTTAAAAAATTAATCATTCATTTGTGTCCTTCAGTCTTAGTTTAATATTAAATTTTTGTCATCGCCTTGTTTAAATGTGAAATAAATTCTGCACATCAGTTATGCATTGCGTAACTAAAGAATTCCCACGCACAACTTCGGTTTTAGTGGGTTTCTCCATGTTTGTTTGTATTGCTTTCTTTACATGTTACTATTTTGTGCTGTTGTATATTTATAAATAAACATTATTATTATTATGATATCAATAATCTATCTACTTACTTTTCACACGAAAGAAGTCACCTACTATCAAGGACTATTTCATTAATCACACCAATTTACAGAGAATCAATGAGGTGAAAGATCTTTCAAAAAAACTGTGCATCATGTAAGTGGAAACCATTCTGTTTGTTGTTCAGTATAAGTACATTTCTTTTCTATTTTTTTAAATAATATACGGCTGATTCATACTAAAGTTTAGATAAAATAAATATAGTTTAAAAACTAAAAAACGCTTTTAAAAACATCGAACTGAAAAGTTAAATCGCCCGTCGCTTTTTTCACAATTATACTAGTATTTTTCGTTCGTTATTGTTTGAAGCTTATAAAAAAATTAACTTTTCAGTTCGATGTTTTTTTAAAACATGTTCTTTAGTTTTTTACATTATATTTATTCGTTTGAAAGAACTATTGATACCATTACGTGTGGAATATAACCTCGTTCAAATTCCGCCACGGCGTTTCTGGGTGGAACGCATCCGATACGTCCAATTTTTCATGACTTTGGCACATAAATCAGGCTGAATTTGGCTGAAGGCATAGGTTATTATTATTCGCCCCAACTGCGACTTAAGAAACCCCACAAGGAAAATTCTAACGGGGTCAAATCGCACGATCTCGGTGGCCAGTTCACATCACCTCCATATGAGATGACCGGCATGATATCGTTCATGATATCCAATGTGGCACGAGCTTTGTGGCACGTAGCGATTTCCTGTGGAAACTACATGTGTTCAAATCATCCAATTCAGACCAAAAGAAATTGGTAATCATCGACCTATAGTGCTCGCCGTTGACAGTGATGGCCTGGTCATCATCGTTCTCAAAGAAATACGGACCGATCATGCCGCCAGCCCAAAATCCACAACAAATAGTGCCTTTTTTGGGATGCATTGGACGGTCTTGGATCTCATGTTGGTTGGTATCGTCCCAAATTCGATAATTTCATAAATGGGCCTCATCGCTGGAGATGATTTTTCGATGAAAATTAGGATCAGTTGCCAACTGCTCCAGAGTCCATTCGGACATACGTCATTGTCTATGGTCGTATACCTTCAGTTCCTGGCTCAGTTGAATTTAATACGGATGCATGCCCAAGTCATAACTCTTGAGAGCGACGTGAAATCGGCTGCCACAGATTCTCTTCTGAGGTAATATGACAGGTGTTTCATTCCGAAATTTCGAAGAACGCGATATACAATTACACATACTAGTGTGATTGTATATCATTACTCTTTCATATATTATATTTCAGAGCGTTCCTATTAACCCTTTGACTCACGGTGTCTACAATTGTAGACACTAACTTTCCAGTTTCCGTGATACCCACAATTCGCTTCGTTTCGCATTTATACAACCCTAAATACATTTGTTGACCTCTCTGCACATGTGTTAGCCAGTTAGCAGTGATATCTGCCATACACATATAGAAACATATCCAGCAGCGTGCATTGTGACAACTTCGTTAAACATTCTATCCAGGTAAGTTCTCGTAATTCTTCAATTATATCGGAAGTTACTGATAATCCAGTCAATGTTTTGCTTTTCTTTTGATTATAAATGAATTGTCTTGGAGTTCTCATGCATATTTTTGTGAAAAATTTCTCTTAGGAATATCGTGTCTACAATTGTAGGCATTTGTATACAAGGAACTAACTATCTGTTCCACTGAAAATTTTGGTCATTTCAGGAAATCATGGACAGAAAGAGAATTCTAACTGAGAGAGAACTTCTAGAAGAACTAGAGAAAGGCCTTTCTGACATAGAAGGCCTTGATAGTGAGGATAGTGATGAAGATATTATGATATCAAGAAAAATTGGAGATCCCTCGCCAAATGACATAGAGGAGGACACTGAGGAAAATTTCGAACAACCAGACGAAGAGCAGGACTCCATTGAAAAAAGAAAGATAGATAATGAACAACCAATGACGAGTGCCCAAAATATATTTACATCCCTGAAGTTTGAAATAGAATGGATGCAAGGCGTCAAGTTCCAAACAAGAAGTATGTTTTTGAATGATCAATCAGTGCAAAATATATCACTAGAAAATGAAATTTCTCCAATAGAATACTTTATGAAATATTTCTCAGAAAACTTATTCGAGAAAATGGTAGAATGTACCAATATTTATGCACTTCAAAACAACGACATGCATTTTACACCCACCAATATAAAAGAGTTGAAAGCTTTCTTTGGATTGCACATAATCACTGGCTGTTTGAAGTTTCCACGACTGAGTATGTACTGGAATAAATCATTGAAAGTTCAGATATTCCACGAGACAATGTCTATAAATAGATTTTATAAACTTAGAACCACTCTGCATTGCGTCAACAATTTGGATGACCAAAATCAAAATGATAAGCTGTGGAAAGTGAGACCAATCTTCGACTCAGTACTCAAAAGATGCAAGGAGCTAGATGTCGAAACAAATGTTTGTGTAGACGAGCAGATGGTCCCATTCAAAGGCCACTCAAATATAAAACAGTATATAAAAAATAAGCCACATCCTTGGGCTTCAAATTATTTCTACTATGTGGTGCGAGTGGTCTAACGTACAATTGCATTATATATCAAGGAAATACAACGGAAATCAATCCACAGTTATCAAAAAAATTTGGGCAAAGTGCTGCGATAGTATTACAACTGTCAGATATTTTAGCACCACGAAAGCATAAATTATTTTGTGATAACTATTTCACGTCTTACAATTTGATCGAAGTTTTGAACCAGAAGTCAATTTTCGTGACGGGTACTGTCAGACTGAATAGATTTTTCAAGCCTCCTCTCACAAACGACAAAGATTTTCGTAAAAAACAGAGAGGAATTTCTGAAGAAGTTATTTCAAACGGCGGAGTTGTTTTGGTCAATTGGCTGGATAATAAACCAGTGGCATTGGCGTCAAACTATGTTGGAATAGGAGACCAGGATAATGTGAAACGCTGGAATAAAAATACAAAGTCTCGTATTGACGTTAACCGTCCGCAAATAGTAAAGGATTACAATACCTCTATGGGTGGCGTCGACAAAGCTGACGCACTCATATCATTATATAGAACAAAAATAAGGTCCAAGAAATGGACACTGAGGATGATATTTCATGCTGTAGATATATCACTCATAAATTCATGGACAGAGTACAGAAAAGATTCTCAGCTGCTTGAACGGCCAGCAAATAAAACTCTAGATTTATTACACTTCAGAATGGAAATAGGAGAGGTCCTCATCAAACAGGGAAATGAAATTTCACGAAAGAAGGTTGGGAGGCCATCAAAAGATGATGCCCCAGTCCAGCCAAGTCGAAAATAACCGAAGTGAGGCCTCTAGCAGATGTACAAATGGACAATGTGAATCATATGCCAGAGCACACTAGTATATCACTACCTGGATGTTGTAAAAATGTTGGGTGCAAGGGCAAGTCACGATGGATTTGCACTAAATGTAAGGTACATTTGTGCCTTCAGAAAAATCGCAACTGTTTTGAGAACTTCCACAATAATTGATTTAGAATGAACAATCTTTTTTATATTTGATTTTACACAACGAATGTTCTTTGCTTTTTCAAATAAATATAATAGGTACCATTGACTACTGATGCCTACAATTGTAGACAATTTTTTTTTCGTACTACCAGGGGTGTGAATTCTAAACAAATGTTTGAAGTGTTCACAAATATCATATTTTGACAATATATTACCAGAAAATAATTTTTATCTCTAGAAACCAAAACTTGTGAGTCAAAGGGTTAATGATATATGTTTCAATTTCATAACGAATGTTTAAAGAACCAACTGAATGGAAAGAAGTGATTTTCGAATAATTCAATGTTCATCTGAAAGTAGTTGTTTCAGAGGGACTTTCCCTTTCAGTTTGTATGCGAAAGTAACTTCTATACGTGATCCACACAGCTTTGTGAAGTTTTCATTTTGAACTTTTTACTTTATTCTTTCTTTCGAAAGTTCACCATATTTTTTTCACATAAAATGGAGAAGTAGAAAGCCAAAAAGCTTTTTTCTGAATAAATGTAATTTTGAATCAGTAACAATAACTTTCAATTTGCATGGTCGAAAATTAAGCATAATTTATCATGTGGCATGAAAACTCAAGCCAAAAATATACCTAATATATCTTTCATGCGAATATAGATCATTTGACATTTTGAATCAATCATTTCTTCCATAATTGCAAATATCCAACTCAAATCAGATTTGTATATTGACATGAATTATTTTCAGTTTTGTGCGTGATTTTTATCCTGAAGATGTATGAATAATATTAAGTAATTTCCCAAACTAAAACGGAAACGATTTGTGAAATTACCATGGATCTTCATCAAGTAACCACCGAGACTATCAGAAAAAAAAAATAAGTAACACTGAATTTTACGAAAAGATAACTTTGATACTTTTTACCATCCTATATTTTTTATGTTTTGTCTCAGTGCTTTTAAAATGAGATGAGCTTGATATACAATCAGATGTTCTTATTTGTCTCCTTTATAAATTGAAAAAGTTTTGAATCGGCAATATGTGCAACGAATACATCATTTTTTTCGAATTAAATATTTTTCGCGAAGTCGTCATAGTATTTATTACATATTCGAAATATATTTTCAGCTAGCTGAACCATGATTATCATGTAATTAATTGAATGATGTAGCCGTAAATACATGGTAGGAGATCATCATGAAAAATGAGAAATGAAACTTTCTATGTTTTTTTACCACTCTCATTTGTAATTATCATTACTGCAGTTTCGACTTATATGGACATTTTCATTGTATCAGTATTGTATTAGTTTGATTTCTCATTTTTCATTATTATAAAAATTAATGAACTTTTAAAATTTTCTAAGAGATCATTATACAAAATCAGAATACTTTTTTAAACGGTTTTATTTAAATTGTCTGTTTGTTGGGATCAAATTCAGCAATTGAAGTTTGACCCCCTTTCTATTGGCACAGTGATTTGATATTTGCTACACACATTTGAATTTTCATGACAATACAATTTCAAAAATTCGGTATCATTGTAAATCCAAGCAGCTACAAAATGGCGGAAAACATAATTTTTCACAACTACCTCAATATGGGTTTCATCAAATGACAGTAGAATACTAGAAAAGTTCTATGAAAAATATGCAAAATGAAGATGGCCGCATCTACAAAATGGCGGATTACATATTATTTCACAAGTACCTCTCTATGGGTATCAAATGACAGGGCTTGATTAGTCCTTTAGTAGTTAGTACAGACATTTTATTATATTATTGAAATAGGAAATTACAAAAATGAGAAGTTGAAAAAAATTACAAAATTGAAGAAACTAATAGTTAAACTTTCTCTCGGTTATCTTGAAGGCGCGATTTTGTTCCATCCTTTACATAAAAGAGGACGTATGCTTCTCCACTCACAAGCGACTTTGGTGAAATTGGTGACACGTGTGAATCGTTTTATTTGTGCCACGCGCTAGTATACGGGTGTCTGCAGTATGCTGTATAATGTCCTCTGTTAGTAGTCCCACTGTGATTTGAAAGTGCATATGGATTATAACAAGTAGCCACATTTTCTCCTGCAAAATTGTCCATATCCAATCCTTCTAGAGGAAATTCGATGACATCATTCAATTTGCCTCTACTTTCCGTTGGAGAGAATCTTTTAAAATGTATTACTAAAATATAGGGAAACTTGTGGATTGATAGGGACTTTATGCATTTTCTCCTTTCCTTGCATTTCGAACACGTCGGTTTTTCATTTCCATCCAAAGTTTCTTCTCTTGTAAAAGAATCCAAGCATTGCCACAAACTCAATTGGTCGGTTCTTTGTGGTATGGAGAGAGACAAATCCCAGAAAGGATCAAATGTTACTGAAGAGTATCCACAGTGTATGCATTTCATCGTGGATTTCAATTGGCCAACGAAATTATCTACAATCTTAGAGTTATGCATCCTCAAATATGTGAGCCATGACTCTTGTGCGTTTCCGCTGTCGCTCAATTTTTCGTCAATCTCCGTTAAGATTGGTTTAGGTAGTACACTATGAAAAAGATGCGAATTCGTTATAATCTATACAAAGAACTATGTCAACTCAGAATCGGGATACAAGCATGGATCTCCCACTCAGGTCAAACAAAAATGGAATAAGTAAAAAAATCATGTAAAAAGGTTTTATTGAAAAAAAAAGTGATAACGATGTAGATAATGTACTACAAACTAAAAACTGATTCGGAATGTCCTAGGTAGCAGTAATCATACCATTCTTCCCGGCAGTCTACGGTATTTATCAGATAAAAAAATAATAACATAGTTGGGCGTAGTATTCACATATACACTCAGGATACGCTCTATCTTTTTTTTTCAATGAAACCGTTTAACATGAAAATTCATTTCACTTAGAAATATAAAGTAACGCCTCTGTCTCGTCGTGAACAATCTTTGACAGATAAATGAAATTACTTTCAATTACACAACGTTGAATAATATAATATCATGCAAAATACAGAATGTGATTAGAGGTTCACGTTTATCCTATCGGATGTCTGATTGGAATCTTGAATTCCAAGTTTTCTACCAGTGTCGTGCGGAAAAGGGATTATTAGCTCTTGGAAAATCAATGAACATTGGGATTGAAATTTAACTAGTTTTTATTCATATAATAATTGGGCAAATTTCGGATATGCCGTTGGTTACCTCGTTCACAGGCAGATGGAGCGATGGCAAGCCTGTTGTTTGCTGTCCGCTTTAGCCTAGTTCGAGGAATGATACTCTGAAGGAATTCGATTTTCAATTATCGGACATCATCGACTTTACGTTGATTTTAGACACTACCTTGCACTGACGATTGGCCAAACAGCCCGAATCCGGTCTGCATGTGTGTTCCAATAATTGAAAATCTATTGCGGCAGTTGTATCGCCAACAGCATATGCAGAAATAACTTCAGCGAAGAATTCAGCACTGGCGTCTGTCGGATATAATCCAACGCCCTTCGTGGTATTAGCCAGGGGAGTAGTTATTTTCTGATAGGTGTTAGTCCATTAACCTACAGTGTAGGGAGTTGAGACTGGCTTGAACGAATTGTTCCTTTAGATGATTTTAAATACATTTTCAGTTCAGACCATTCAAACTGTTTGAAAGTAAAAAAGTTTGAGTTATTATCGTAAGTGTTCTAGTTCACTTTTGGTGGCAAAAATACAGTGTTACTGACATATGTAGATGAACTTTTTGATTGCTACTATGATAATTTCGATAGTGGCTATAAATTTTCTGAGTCCCTAGAATATAACAATGTCAAGAAAATTCATTTTTATACACCATCAATTTCTCCCACACACCATTATACAAATTGGACCTCTCAAAAGTCGATTTAGGCATAATGCCGGTTTTATTCTAAACCACACACATAGGAGGGTGCTCTCAAAATTCGTGTTTGGAACTTTTCAAAGAGTTCAATCTTGAAACGTACGCCTCTGCCGACAACGTTAACCGAATATCAATGAAACCGTTTAAAACTTTCCGAACTTTGCAGCGCCTATAGCGAACTAATGAGTTTTGAAGTTTATTAGAAAACTCCTGAAAAAACAGACTAGGCTGGGACTAAACACAATTATAAAAAAACTCTTGTTTGAAAAGCTTTGAGAGGGGGCATATGATAAAGATGCACTTTCAAAACTTTGATATTTTGGTTAATAGCGGATTGCCAAACTATGAAATAATACAGAAATCTATTCGTTTCCATAAAATCATTTTTCTCTGTCTTATAAACTTAGAATGCACTGCACTTTTCATCATGTATCGTTAAAAATTGTTGTTACAAATTTTTTACCTGGCTGAATCTATGCCATGCTGGAAAACAGAACTGCAACTACCACTCTTCAAGGACATGCCATTAGGGTCAGGGTCACCAGAGGCTGCCCTCAAGGTGAGGTACTATCTCCCCTTCTGTGGTCGCTGATAGA